CAAACATTTTTACTATAGAAATGTGGTTATTGCGAAAATGACTTTAGCAGTGTAGAGGAGTTATTTCTACATGTATGCGATGGCTACGATAATGAGGTTCGAAACTTTGAAGAGCCGCATGAAGCTCAATTCAATGAGCCTCCAAAAAGGAAACGAGGAAGACCAAAAAAAAATTCAGATGATGTCGTTGTTATGAAAAGAGTTAAGAAAAACTCTGGATAGGAATTATTAGCAAGAGTCTGATTATTGTTGTAATATGATTTGTTTCGCTTAAAGCAATAAACTTGATTAGAGAATAAAAATAAAAATAATATGTTAACGTGAATTTTATTTTCCATGTTCAGAGTTTGGCTGAATCTATTATTATCGAACATAATTTGGTTATCAGATATAGAAAACTGGACAATTCAAATGAATTACTGTCGGGTTCTCGGAAAGCACTACGAAAACGAATTTTTTATATGAAATATTTGATCGCACGAGCTATTTTTCGTGGACTTAATCGGTTAACGATTAAGTTTGGAGACTATTTAGTCATGATCCAAAAATAAAGATATTGAGTAAAACTCCTAATATCACTTTCATATCCTGACTGTTATCTTTAGAAAAATTAACGGATACTAATCTTTTACGGATATTTCAAACGCTTTTATCGAATCTATTCTGTTCGTTTATAAAATCTATCAGAAAATTAAACAGAAATTTAGTTTTCATTTCTATTTTTCAGAGTGACCAGTAGTTAAAATTTCATTATCAGCATTTTTTGTTTGTGTATAAACCCTCAACCAGAAAAAAGACGTATACCGAAAAATGTCATCTGCCCAACAGGTAATTCTAATTTGAATAAAAACTGAACATACAATTGCTATTTGACCTGAGACCCACGTTACAGTTGTCCGTTTGGCCACAGAAAAAGATCCAAAAAAGGTCACATTGGTCAGAATACGAGCAAAGTTACGTTAATTTAAAAAAATTGTCAAGTGCATAGATACGATAAATTCTGACCAATGTGACCTTCATGTTGACTGTTTTTCTTTATGATTGTGCTCAGAGTATTGCCAGTGACAGTTCAGTACAAAAAAAATCGGGACTTCAAACAAGCAGAAAATTTTTTTTTACAAGTCCAAACCTTTGGATCTTTTTCTGTGGCCATGTAACCAGAAATGGTTTGTGGGTGTTTAAGCCTTAGGTTAGGTTATCTAACCTAAGGTACACGTTACGGTTGTCCGTTTGGCCACAGAAAAAGATCCAAAAAGGTCACATTGGTCAGAATACGAGCAAAGTTATGTTAATTTAAAAAACGTCAAGTGCATAGATACGATGAATTCTGACCATTGTGACCTTCATGTTGACTGTTTTTCTATCTAATTGTGCTCAGAGTATTGCCAGTGACAGTTCTGTACAAAAAAAAACGTCACTTCAAACAACCAGAAAATTTTTTTTTCCAAGTCCAAACCTTTGGATCTTTTTCTGTGGCCATGTAACCAGAAATGGTTTGTGGGTGTTTAAGCCTTAGGTTAGGTTATCGAACCTAAGGTACACGTTACGGTTGTCCGTTTGGCCACAGAAAAAGATCCAAAAAAGGTCACATTGGTCAGAATACGAGCAAAAATATGTTAATTTAAAAAAAACGTCAAGTGCATAGATACGATAAATTCTGACCAATGTGACCTTCATGTTGACTGTTTTTCTATCATATTGTGCTCAGAGTATTGCCAGTGACAGTTCTGTACAAAAAAAAAACGTCACTTCAAGCAACCAGAAAATTTTTTTTTCCAAGTCCAAACCTTTGGATCTTTTTCTGTGGCCATGTAACCAGAAATGGTTTGTGGGTGTTTAAGCCTTAGGTTAGGTTATCTAACCTAAGGTACACGTTACGGTTGTCCGTTTGGCCACAGAAAAAGATCCAAAAAAGGTCACATTGGTCAGAATACGAGCAAAGTTACGTTAATTTAAAAAAATTGTCAAGTGCATAGATACGATAAATTCTGACCAATGTGACCTTCATGTTGACTGTTTTTCTATCTGATTGTGCTCAGAGTATTGCCAGTGACAGTTCTGTACAAAAAAAACGTCACTAAACAACCAGAAAATTTTTTCCAAGTCAAACCTTTGGATCTTTTCTGTGGCCATGTAACCAGAAATGGTTTGTGGGTGTTTAAGCCTTAGGTTGGGTTATCGAACCTAAGGTACACGTTACAGTTGTCCGTTTGTACAGAAAAAGATCAAAAAGGTCATTGGTCAGAATACGAGCAAAAATATGTTAATTTAAAAAACGTCAAGTGCATAGATACGATAAATTCTGACCAATGTGACCTTCATGTTGACTGTTTTCTATCATATTGTGCTCAGAGTATTGCCAGTGACAGTTCTGTACAAAAAAAACGTCACTTCAAACAACCAATTTTTTTCCAAGTCCAAACCTTTGGATCTTTTCTGTGGCCATGTAACCAGAAATGGTTTGTGGGTGTTTAAGCCTTAGGTTAGGTTATCTAACCTAGGTACGATACGTTGTCCGTTTGGCCACAGAAAAAGATCCAAAAAAGGTCACATTGGTCAGAATACGAGCAAAGTTACGTTAATTTAAAAAAATTGTCAAGTGCATAGATACGATAAATTCTGAATAATGTTCATGTTGACTGTTTTCTATCTAATTGTGCTCAGAGTATTGCCAGTGACAGTTCTGTACAAAAAAAACGTCACTTCAAACAAGCAGAAAAATTTTTTTTCCAAGTCCAAACCTTTGGATCTTTTTCTGTGGCCATGTAACCAGAAATGGTTTGTGGGTGTTTAAGCCTTAGGTTAGGTTATCTAACCTAAGGTACACGTTACGGTTGTCCGTTTGGCCACAGAAAAAGATCCAAAAAAGGTCACATTGGTCAGAATACGAGCAAAGTTACGTTAATTTAAAAAAATTGTCAACTGCATAGATACGATAAATTCTGACCAATGTGACCTTCATGTTGACTGTTTTTCTATCTAATTGTGCTCAGAGTATTGCCAGTGACAGTTCTGTACAAAAAAAACGTCACTTCAAACAACCAGAAAATTTTTTTTTCCAAGTCCAAACCTTTGGATCTTTTTCTGTGGCCATGTAACCAGAAATGGTTTGTGGGTGTTTAAGCCTTAGGTTAGGTTATCTAACCTAAGGTACACGATACAGTCCGTTTGGCCACAGAAAAGATCCAAAAAAGGTCACATTGGTCAGAATACGAGCAAAGTTACGTTAATTTAAAAAAATTGTCAAGTGCATAGATACGATAAATTCTGACCAATGTGACCTTCATGTTGACTGTTTTCTATCTAATTGTGCTCAGTATTGCCAGTGACAGTTCTGTACAAAAAAACGTCACTTCAAACAACCAGAAAATTTTTTCCAGTCCAAACCTTTGGATCTTTTCTGTAGCCATGTAACCAGAAATGGTTTGTGGGTGTTTAAGCCTTAGGTTAGGTTATCGAACCTAAGGTACATTCAGTTGTCCGTTTGGCCACAGAAAAGATCCAAAAAGGTCACATGGTCAGAATACGAGCAAAGTTACGTTAATTTAAAAATTGTCAAGTGCATAGATACGATAAATTCTGACCAATGTGACCTTCATGTTGACTGTTTTCTATCTAATTGTATAAGTATTGCCAGTGACAGTTCTGTACAAAAAAAACGTCACTTCAACAACCAGAAAATTTTTTCCAAGTCCAAACCTTTGGATCTTTTCTGTGGCCATGTAACCAGAAATGGTTTGTGGGTGTTTAAGCCAGTTGGGTTATCGAACTACAAATTACATTGATTTGTCCGTTTGTACAGAAAAGATCCAAAAAGGTCACATTGGTCAGAATACGAGCAAAAATATGTTAATTTAAAAAAAACGTCAAGTGCATAGATACGATAAATTCTGACCAATGTGACCTTCATGACTGTTTTCTATCATATTGTGCTCAGAGTATTGCCAGTGACAGTTCTGTACAAAAAACGTCACTAAGCAACCAGAAAATTTTTTTCAAGTCAAACCTTTGGATCTTTTCTGTGGCCATGTAACCAGAAATGGTTTGTGGGTGTTTAAGCCTTAGGTTAGGTTATCTAACCTAAAAATTTTGATACAGTTGTCCGTTTGGCCACAGAAAAGATCCAAAAAGTCGTGGTCAGAATACGAGCAAAGTTACGTTAATTTAAAAATTGTCAAGTGCATAGATACGATAAATTCTGACCAATGTGACCTTCATGTTGACTGTTTTTCTAATTGTGCTCAGAGTATTGCCAGTGACAGTTCTGTACAAAAAACGTCACTTCAAACAACCAGAAAATTTTTTTCAAGTCAAACCTTTGGATCTTTTCTGTGGCCATAACCAGAAATGGTTTGTGGGTGTTAAGCCTTAGGTTAGGTTATCTAACCTAAAATACGATACAATTGTCCGTTTGGCCACAGAAAAGATCAAAAAGTCTGATGGTCAGAATACGAGCAAAGTTACGTTAATTTAAAAAAATTGTCAAGTGCATAGATACGATAAATTCTGACCAATGTGACCTTCATGTTGACTGTTTTTCTATCTGATTGTGCTGAGAGTATTGCCAGTGACAGTTCTGACCAAAAAAAAAACGTCACTTCAAACAACCAGAAAATTTTTTTTTCCAAGTCCAAACCTTTGGATCTTTTTCTGTGGCCATGTAACCAGAAATGGTTTGTGGGTGTTTAAGCCTTAGGTTAGGTTATCTAACCTAAGGTACACGTTACGGTTGTCCGTTTGGCCACAGAAAAAGATCCAAAAAAGGTCACATTGGTCAGAATACGAGCAAAGTTACGTTAATTTAAAAAAATTGTCAAGTGCATAGATACGATAAATTCTGACCAATGTGACCTTCATGTTGACTGTTTTTCTATCTGATTGTGCTGAGAGTATTGCCAGTGACAGTTCTGACCAAAAAAAAACGTCACTTCAAACAACCAGAAAATTTTTTTTTCCAAGTCCAAACCTTTGGATCTTTTTCTGTGGCCATGTAACCAGAAATGGTTTGTGGGTGTTTAAGCCTTAGGTTGGTTATCGAACCTAAGGTACACGTTACAGTTGTCCGTTTGGCCAGAAAAGATCCAAAAATCACATGGTCAGAATACGAGCAAAGTTACGTTAATTTAAAAACTGTCAACTGCATAGATACGATAAATTCTGACCAATGTGACCTTCATGTTGACTGTTTTCTATCATATTGTGCTCAGAGTATTGCCAGTGACAGTTCTGTACAAAAAAAACGTCACTAAACAACAGAAAATTTTTTTCCAAGTCAAACCTTTGGATCTTTTCTGTGGCCATGTAACCAGAAATGGTTTGTGGGTGTTTAAGCCTTAGGTTAGGTTATCTAACCTAAGGTACACGTACAGTTGTCCGTTTGTACAGAAAAGATCCAAAAAAGGTCACATTGGTCAGAATACGAGCAAAGTTACGTTAATTTAAAAAAATTGTCAAGTGCATAGATACGATAAATTCTGACCAATGTGACCTTCATGTTGACTGTTTTTCTATCTGATTGTGCTGAGAGTATTGCCAGTGACAGTTCTGACCAAAAAAAAACGTCACTTCAAACAACCAGAAAATTTTTTTTTCCAAGTCCAAACCTTTGGATCTTTTTCTGTGGCCATGTAACCAGAAATGGTTTGTGGGTGTTTAAGCCTTAGGTTAGGTTATCTAACCTAAGGTACACGTTACGGTTGTCCGTTTGGCCACAGAAAAAGATCCAAAAAAGGTCACATTGGTCAGAATACGAGCAAAGTTACGTTAATTTAAAAAAATTGTCAAGTGCATAGATACGATAAATTCTGACCAATGTGACCTTCATGTCAATTTTAAAACATTTCAGCATCAGAATAAAAAATAATTTAACATTTCCTGCTATTTTCAGACTTTTCGTGGTAGACCGAGATCTAATAGAACTCGCGTAAGGCAAAGCGATGGGCAACGGGCAAGAAGTGATAGAAGAAACCGGAGCACAAATAGCAATGTAAATCATCCAACTTTTAATTCAGCCTTCTGTCATGATGTTCCTTTGCAAGTCCACTCACATCTTGGTACTAATGACCAAAAGTGTATTTATTGTGGTGCATTAAATTTCAAATTTGAAAGAACTGGAAGAGATAAAAACTTCAGTATTTGTTGCCAAAAAAATAAAGTCAAGCTCGATCTGCCATCTTATTTGCAAACTCTAAAAGATTTGCTTCTGGGCAATCATCCACTTTCACAACATTTCAGAGATAAAGTAAGACAGTATAATTGTGCATTTTCATTCATCACATTCAGTGCGAAAGTTCAAAGTATTCCCACACGTGGACCATATTGCTTCAAGGTTGGTGATACAATTCATCATTTCATTAGTTCTCTAGAAAATCAAAGATTAGGTGGACAAGTATATATTCTCGATCTAGAAGAGGCTTTCAATGTTAGATCTTCTCATCAAGCCAATCAAAGTTTAAAACGAGAAATTCTCAACATGTTGCACGATGAACTTCTTATCATGAATCCATATGCTAGAACTTTTAAAAACATGTCAATAATACAGCAACAAGAAGAACAAAGATCACGTGATCTTGGTACCCCTATTAAAGTGTATGGGATTGAGTTTTTCACTGATGCTAATGATAGTAGAGGGCGAGGAAATTTACCACAAGTCTCCGAAATTGCTGCAGTCTTTGAGAGTGAAGATGGAACTCCACCAAATAGTCGTAATTTGCGAGTTTATCCTGTGGGCTCTGCTCCTAGAATAATCTCACATTTAAGCCCTCATCTTGATCCTATGGCTTATCCAATTGTTTGGCCTTATGGAGAGCAAGGTTGGTCACCTTATTTGCATCACAACAATAGGAACAGATCTTCAATACGAACAAAAATCACTCTTAGGGAGTTCGCATGTTATAGACTTGCAGACAGAGAAAATCACTTTAATGCTGCAAATCATTGTGGCAAATTAACACAACAACTCTACGTAGATTTTTATGTTAGATACGAAGGATTGAGACTATTCTGGATAAGAAACAATCAAGATAAGCTTCGTATCGAAACCTATGCGGGTTTACTTGACTTCGTTTCGGGAACATCTGAAACACAAAGCTTAAGAGCAGGTCGTAGAGTAATTCTACCATCTTCTTTCACTGGAAGCCCAAGAAATATGTTTACAAGGTATCAAGATGCAATGGCAGTGGTTAGGCATTGTGGTAAGCCAGACTATTTCATAACTATGACTTGCAATCCAAATTGGCCAGAAATTTCAGGTTCAATATTACCAAATGAAAAATGGTATGATCGTCCGGATATAACTGTTCGTGTTTTCAGTGGAAAAGTGGACGAAATGAAAAATCTCTTGATGAAAAAGAAAATATTTGGCCGAGTAACTTCTCTTATTTGTGTTATCGAGTTTCAAAAACGAGGATTACCGCACTTACACTTATTACTCAATGTTGCTAATGACTGTAAGCCTAGAGAAATTGAACAAATCGATTCTGTTGTATGTGCGGAAATCCCTGATCCAATATCAGACCCTGAATTATTCAAACTGGTAACTTCTCACATGATTCATGGCCCTTGCGGTATTGTTGATAACACTTCTCAGTGTTTGAATGATGAAGGTAATTGTACTAAAAAGTTCCCTAAACCATATCAAGAACAAACTCAGATAAGTGATCAAGGTTATCCTCTCTATCGTCGTCAAAATACGAGAAAAAGTTATGCTCACAGGACAGGAGGAGTCACTGTCGATGTAGATAACAGCTGGGTCGTTCCATATAATAAATTTCTCCTAAAATATTTCAAGTGCCATTTGAATGTGGAAATTTGTTGTACCGTCAAAGCCATGAAATACTTATACAAATACGTGTACAAGGGTTACGATCAGTCGAATATTCGTGTAATAAGTGAAGATGACCATGGAAATATTGACGAAATTGATACGTTTTTAAAATCCAGATATGTAGGTCCAACTGAAGCTGCTCATCGGCTATTCGCTCTTCCTATGTACTTTAATACGCACACTGTCATTTCTTTACCAGTACATCTCCCCAATCAACACTTTGTCACTTTTGAGGCTAACGATGAATTAAATGCAGCAGCAGCAGCAGCAACTAAGGTCACCAAATTAACAGCTTGGTTCGAACTTAATAATCGTTATGATGATGTTCCTATCTACCCACAAGTGCCGACTCAATATTTATGGTCGGATAACAAATGGCAAAGAAGAATTTACAATGCCAGTGACGTGATTGGAAGATTACATATTGTGCCACCGAATCAACCCGAAAGATTTTCCCTACGATTACTTTTGCTTAATGTAACTGGAGCTAAAAACTTTGTTGACTTACGTACCCATAATAATGTAATCCATGAAACATTTCAATCTGCAGCAAGATCCCGAGGGTTAATTCAAGATGACAGTGAGTGGGTGAATTGTTTAACTGAGCTGGTTACCGTTTGTTTTCCGAAGCAACTCAGAGAGACTTTTTCGTATATTTTGGTGTTCAGTAACCCCGGCAATGCTAAACAGCTTTTTGAACAATTCAAATTTCATCTCTGTGAAGATTTTTTGAGAGAATTCAATCAACAAATTTCTGAAAATCTTGCCTTAAATCATATACAAAGTATTCTTGACATTCACCAAAAAACTTTAAATGAATTTGGAATACAACATGATAACGACGTTATCCATGATATTCCCATCAGCTCAAATCAAAGGCAAATGTACCTAGATGAGTCAATCAACTTTTATAACAGCGCTAACAGTGAACAAAAGTTTTGTATTGACACAATTCTAACTACTATTCAAAACAATGATCCTAATACCTGGTCAAAGGCTTATTTCATCGATGGTCCGGGCGGAACTGGGAAAACATCAATTTATAACTATTTGATAAAGCATCTCCTCAGTAATAACAAAGTTGTCGTTGCTGTAGCTTGGACAGGCACAGCAGCGACTCTTTTAGTTGACGGCAAAACGTCTCATTCCAGTTTTGGCTTACCTTTAAATATAAACGAGACGTCAGTTTCATCGATAACGGTTCAGAGTAAGAAAGCGGCTATTTTGAGAGAAGCTGAACTTATTCTTTGGGATGAAGCTTCAATGATTCCTAATACAGCTCTCAAGTTAGTCGATGATCTACTAAAAGATATTATGTCATCTGAAAAACCATTTGGAGGTAAAACAATAGTTTTAGGTGGTGATTTCCGACAAATATTACCTGTATGTAATCATGGTGGTAAAGTTCAAACTATCAACCTTTCACTCAAAAAATCGGTTCTCTGGCAATACTTTCACATATTACGTTTGACCTTAAACATGAGAGTAGATAACAATGACAACGAATATAGATCTTTTCTATTGAAAATTGGAAACGGTACTTATAACAATATTTCACCACCTTACGTCATATCACTACCTTCGGATATCGTCATACCATCAAATGAAAATTTAATTGAACACATTTATGGAAATAATATTGATATTCGTACAAGAGACCCATTATTCTTTACAGATAAGGCAATTCTCTGTCCAAAAAACATACACTGTGATGAAATCAACGAAGGAATTGTTGATATGATAAGCAGTGACGAAAAAATTTACACGAGTTTGAATACAATTGTTGATGATGGAAGTGAATCCAATGTTCATTATCCAACTGAATACTTAGACACATTGGAAATATCTGGACTGCCTTCTCATAAAATAAAATTAAAAAAGGGTGTTGTAGTTATTTTGTTGAGAAATTTAAATCTAAATGCAGGTTTGACAAATGGCACCAGATTAAGTGTAAATGAAATGTTCACAAGTTCAGTTAAATTTACAATAATCACTGGACAGTCAGCTGGCAAAGAAGTATTCATACCAAAGATAAATTTATATTCAAATGATCAATCACTTCCATTCACATTCAGGAGAAAACAACTCCCTGTTAAAATAGCTTTTGCCATCACAATAAACAAGGCTCAAGGACAAACATTGAGTAAAGTTGGTATTTACCTCCCTGAGCCTGTCTTTTCTCATGGACAGCTATATGTTGCACTTTCAAGAGCTAAAAATTCACAAACGGTCAAAGTTAAACTTCCTGCTCGACGAGAACGCACAATAACTCTCAATCTAACTAACAATGTTGTTTATAAAGAAGTTTTATAATTACAAAAATTAACTATGATTAAAAATTAATCTAAAATTAGCAAAATTTAAATATAAATGGTGAATTATAAAATTGTGTTTAGTTCCATTTTGAGTTGAATTTTATTCAGATGAACTTTCAAGAAAATTTACTTTGAAAGCGATCATGTTGATCGCTTATATTGAAATTATTACAATTGAGCTTAAACATATTTCATTTAATGATAATTAATATATAATTAAATTTAGAGGCTTCCACAATTAATATTATTGTTATTATTATTACTATTATTGCCATGAATATTATTTACTATTATTATTATACCAACAAATTAACACATAATTATTATCGATCAACAAGTTAAATTGTTGATTCACAACTCTAACAGAAAAAAAAATCATTCAAATTGATCAAACAATTAAACAGCAACAAAAACAAAATCATCAGATATTATTGATATAATCAAATTGATCCATATTATTATAAAATCAATAATTAATCATTCATCATAATGGTTAACCTACTCGAAACAATTAGCCAACGATTGTGATTAATAATCACAAGTACAATTGATTAACTAATATAAACAAAAAGTATTTTAAAATAAATCGAGAAGAAAAATCTATTTGAAAATTGGTTCCAACTTATTCTTGAAAGTTAATTGTTTCAACATCGTTACTCTATAATGACGGGACTGTGACTTAGAGATGTTCAATCATAGACCATCGGGTGGTAGCGTCGATCCATCACTCGATCGAGCATATTTACTATTGGCCCGAACTTGATGTTCCTCTCGTACTGACCAGGATTACTTTTGCAACGACAAGTCAACAGTAGGGTAAAACTAACCTGCCTTACGTTACCCTATTAGCGGGTGAACAAACCAGCACTTTAAACTCTGCTTGGCAATGATCGGAAGGACATTAGTTGAATTTTGTTCCACCAGATGGAAGCAGGTGAAGTTAGATTCAAAATCGAGATCAGCAAATGATTAATATGATATTAAATCAATTGTTATATTGATTTAATGAATATTTTCATAAAAAATCAATAAGATGAGTCATCTAATCATCTTGTTTTTTTTTAAATCTCCACTTCAAATAAAGTATTGAAACTTTAAGTTGACATTTATCTAATTATCATGAACTTTTTTTCTTGTTGATTGTTCACTTGAAACATGTTAAGGATTTAATGACAATATCAACAAGAAGAACAATTATACAAATGATTATTTAATTGTTGACAGTTTACAATTTAATCCAAGCTTAATGATGAACAAATAGATGATGATGATGATGAAAACTTTGAGATGAAGAGAAGATGATGAAGAAGAAAAAAAAACCTGACTGTCCACTTGTGTCCACTCATCATGATCAATGTAACATGAACAGGAACAAACAATCAACCATGATAATAATAACTTAATTTAAAAGCAACACCAAAATGATAAACATCATCAAGAGTTAATCAAACGATTATTATCATATAATCATTTGAATATCATGTTACCAGGGTTACTTTTTAAATTCTGTCAACAATCAAGTGAATACGACACTTTGGAATTAAAATTCAAAGATGAAATTAAATATTTCATCATGATGTTTATAAAATAATAATATGAAAGTTCAGTTGAAAAGAGATAAAGGAAAATTTTGACATTCGTCAAAAGAAAAAGAAGAAAAATTTTATTCAACCATCACCAAGAATTCTGGTTAATCTGATGATAATTATTTTCTCTCTTCAGAGATATTCTTTAATCTCTAACAAGGCAAATGATGATAATATTATCTTCCTACTTTCTGATGATAAAGTTTTTCTCTCTCTCTTTCTCTTTTGATTGATTGATTATGATTAGGATAACATGTTGCCAATCACCAAAGATTCAGGATACATTCAGGGGGATAATCAAATGAAAATAAATTAATGATAATAATAGAAACGATTACAAAGATTAATAAGATAATAATAAGATGATAAACATTTATTATCATTGTTGATGAAATTGAATCAATGATGATAATGAGAGAGAGAGAGAGAGAGAGAGAGAGAGAGAAAAAGATCTTTCAAATTCGATAAGAAAAAGTTCTAACTCAAAATAAACACCATTGGTTTGTTATCAATGTCATTGTTGGATAGTCAAGGTTATCATTTTATCATATCAAACTATTCAGACCAATGGTCAATGTCTCTGTGAGAGGTCACTTTGAATAAATTTGGAAAATTAATCTTACCTGTGAAAAAAAATCCACAATCAATTGATTATTCATTCAGATCTTTACTGGTAATCTTAATCTTTTGTGAGTTGTTGCAGTTTTTTTGCTTCTTCTTCATCATCTTCATTTACCTTTCTCTTTCTTTCCATCAAATTCAACTCTCTCTCTCTCTCTCTCCTCCCACTTTGGCACACCATGGTGTACTCAGGTAGTAGCCACTGTGATGAGAAATCAAAGATTTCAATCAGCATGAGATTCAAACAGTAGTATCAATAGTTACTCATTTTCACCTCATTCACACCCAGATGAAGATGAGGTAAGATGTTGATTTGGTGATGGAGATGATGATGTGTGGTTACCTTGAATGTGTTCCCCTTGATTGTTTATCATCATCATCTTCTTCATTTGTATCATCTTCCTTAGAGTTCATGGTTGACTTGAAAAAAAACTAGAAAGAGAGACACACAGAAAATGAGATAATCAATTTGATGACGAAAA